AATCTTCCCACAGTAACTCCCAGGTTAACTACACAGCCCACGAAATGGTCACCTCGCATGCTTATTACACCACACCGTTACAGGAAGAGAGATGTGGCTCATACGTGGCCCAGGTGTGTGACACACGTGGCCCACCATCACTGTTGTGGCCCAGGTGTGTGGCACACACCTGGGGTGGAGGCACCACAGACTGACATAACTTCATTCACAGCACAAATACAATTTAAGAGTGTTTGGGAGAAGAAAAACAACCTAATAGTATAAATCAAAGCTTGAACAAATCCACAAGGGCCGTGACGAGGATTCGAACCTACGTCTGTGAGCTGTGTGAACTCAAAGCATCGTAAATAGTGTCGTTTTCTATGCATCTGCCTCGATAGGTTTGGTGGGTTGCTTGGGTTTGTACGCTGCTGGTTAGGGAAAATAGTTCCATATTTTACACAGTGGGACAGAGTGGGACAGTATCTTAATCCTACCTTGTGGAGGTTCCGGGGATCAACGTCCCCGCGGCCCGGTCTCCGACTAGGCATCCCAGTTGGTCGTCTGGATAACCTGGCTGTTATGCGCGGCTGCTCGAGTCACAGCCTGGTTGATCAGGTGTCCCTTGGATTTATATATATGTAGGATTTATAATTGTATCGTCATGATTATGACGTCATAGTGACGTCACATACCTTATGCACTCTATTATAAAACATTAAGTTACGTATCTTACGTTAGGCTAGGTTGGGTTGGGCTAGGGTAGGTTGGGTTGGGCTAGGGTAGGTTGGGTTGGGCTAGGGTAGGTTGGGTTGGGCTAGGGTAGGTTGGGTTGGGCTAGGGTAAGTTGGGTTGGGCTAGGGTAGGTTGGGTTGGGCTAGGGTAGGTTGGGTTGGGCTAGGGTAGGTTGGGTTGGGCTAGGGTAGGTTGGGTTGGGCTAGGGTAGGTTGGGTTGGGCTAGGGTAGGTTAGATAAGCAATGACGTAGAGCGGTATATACTTCTCTCAGGTCTTGGACCTCTAAGCGAGCTGAGAGCGTCACCGAAATGTTCTTTTTGTGTAAACTCACGATTGTGAAAGTTTGCGGGCGACCACGCCCACCCGGAGGGTCCTCTGGTGGGATGACACACTAAATGTTCTCGCTCATAACACACTTCCACCTCCCCACAAGTCTAAACCATAGTGTGAGTGTGTGTGTGTGTGTGTGTGTGTGTGTGTGTGTGTGTGTGTGTGTGTGTGTGTGTGTGTGTGTGTGTGTGTGTGTGTGTAAACTCTACTGCAGGTGTATGACTGCAGGAGACGACGACTGCATGTGTGTGTGTGTGGTGGCGAGTGTGCCACACACACACACACATGTACATCTCAGGAATCTGTATACCTGTTGATTGACGGTTGAGAGGCGGGACCAAAGAGCCAGAGCTCAACCCCCGCAAACACAACTAGGTCAGTACAACTAGGTGAGTACACACACACACACAGGATCCAAAGGCGGGATCCAAGAGTCAATGCTCGATCCTGCAGACACAACTAGGTGAGTACACACACACACACACACACACACACACACACACACACACACACACACACACACACACACACACACACTTGTCCAACAATCCACACGGCAGAACCCGCTCCTTGAGGGCTGGCTTAGTCTATGTCTGTTATTAAGAGACATTCCCCAACAGCTGTTGCTCTGTGGATCCGTGCTTCATCAGTCGTTGAAATCTCCTGAACAATGAGACGACGAGGTGAACTTTCGTGTTCAAAAGTGGTTCTGTTCGTGGTGGAATGAACACATGAACAGGTGTCACCACGCTCGGGGAGAAGATGATGAACACTTGCATAGGATACCTGATCAATCAGGCTGTGACTCGTACGTCAGGCTGTGCGCAGCCGCGTCCAACCAACTGGTTGATCAGGACATCAACCTGGAGGTCTGGTCAGTGATCGGGCCGCGTGGTTGTTGATCCCCGGAACTATGGCATTGTTGTAACTACAAGTCAACGTGAGCACACTGGAACACGGCGTGCGTATATAGGTATTTATATATACATATACGCACAATCCATACGCATACATAATATTCTTGTGATGTGACCATGGATATGTACACTCAATACATAACAATTAGCCGGCCGCAAACCCACCACATTGACACACATATAAACTCACCCACACGAATACGAGGCAATTAACTCACAGATGTGAGTATTAACAGAGTATACGCACGTCCGCCCACATTCAGATATACACCAAGGTATAATACAGACGCATGTATGTGCGTGTGGTGAGGGAGGGGGGGGGGGTGGAGGAGGGTCCCACGGCGCCTGAAGGCTGTGGGCAGGACACAGTCTGTATTAATGTCTTCTTTGCTGTAACCAGGTTCCTTGAGGCTTGGGTAGGGGGGTGGAGGCAAGGAAGGTAAATAATTATGTGTGGGAAAAATGAGGGAGTGTGAGAGCGATAGAGGGAGGGATGATGGTAGGGGAAGGAGGGAGGGTGAGAGAGGGTGGGTGGTAGGGAAGGAGGGAGAGAGAGAGAGAGAGAGAGGGATGGAGGGAGTTGACCTAGCTAAGGTACCGTTCACTAAGTATAGGGTGCAAGGTGTGGGCCGAGCCTTGCCCTACCTAGCCCCATGTTGCTGGGGTGGCAGAGGCAGGGAGGAGGGGTCAAGATGTCAGGCCTGGCAGAACAAAAGGCTGAATGAGAGGGGTTGCGGATAATTTTATGACCCCCATGGCTCGGTGCTTCATGTCCTCGCCTCGCAATTGAGAGAGCCGGGCTTAATCCACCGGTAAGAAATGGATGGGCACGTTTCCTTTTTACCTGGTTCTTCTAGTTACCTGGCAGTGAAATAGGTACACGGGAGTTTGGCAACTGTTGAGGGTTGCATCCTAGATATGGTCAATTGTTGGCATAAGTATAGACTCCCTGTTCCCGACAACAGGAATATGATTCGGGAGCCACAATGTTCCCGTGTGTTTGGAACCCTGGAGCCTCCAGTGTTCACGTCTCAGGTCAGACGGCCAGAGTAAAAAGAAGACTGAAGCTGGTGTTCACTTTATACTCCCAAGAACAATTCACACTGCCTCCTATCAGTGGGTTTTTGTAAGCACTGCCTTCCGTCAGTGGTTTTCTCGAGCTCACTACATCCATCCCCAAAAGCCATACCGCCCCCATCTATGGGCTCACGGAACTACGGCCTCTTGTATGCATCCTGGAAGCCAAGCCACCCCATGTTTGGCTTAGAGGAGCCACTGCCTGATGCATTCAGAAGACACCAGCCTCGTCAGTGGGTCTCAGGACTACGTCTCTGGGTCTAAGGAATCGCCTGGTGGTGTATCCGTCCCTGGAAGACAGAGACAGAGAGACTGTCCTCGCCAGTGGTCCCAGCGCGTGTGAGCGAGTGTAGGGAGGGCCGGGCAGGCACGGGGAGACAGGGTGCAGGCGCCGCCCGGTCGCTCCTAAACAGGTTTCTTCGTAGCCAGATGGACCCCCGTCGCAGCGGTCTTCGTCTCCAGCCTGAGCCTCGGTATTGCTCCGTCGCGGCCCCCGGGCTAGTGTGAGTGGCCTCTGCTGGTGTGGTGGGCGGCGGGTTAGGTAAGGGGGTCTTCGGCTGGTGTGTGCTTCAGCTCCTAGCCCCAATTTTCGAGTGGGGCTCAGCGAGGTCAATTTGCATTTGTAGTTGAATGCAACGACTCTGATTTTCATGTTTATCACTTGTTGATAAAGCTGTTTACAGTTCAATTTGAGCCGTGAAATCTAACTCATTCCACATGTCGACCAATGGGACGTTCTTTTATATTTTCTTTTCTACACAGGTGGGTACAGGAGCAGACACCTGGCCCCAGATTCACGAAGCAGTTACGCAAGCACTTACGAACCTGTACATCTTTTCTCAATCTTTGGCGGCGTTATTTACAATTATTAAACAGTTAATGAGCTCCGAAGCATCAGGAGGCTGTTTATAACAATAACAACAGTTGATTGGCAAGTTTTCACGCTTGTAAATTGTTTAATAAATGTAACCAAAGCCGTCAAAGATTGAGGAAAGATGTCCACGTTCGTAAGTGCTTGCGTAACTACTTCGTGAATCTGGCCTCTGTTCTCTCGCCTAATACGTAGGATTATTTTTTTTACTAAATCGACCAATCCGTTAAAAAATGCGACGTATTAGTTAAAATTATATCACATCAATATTGACGTTTTCTGTGCTTAGGCGTCGATAGGTTAGGCGGGTTCCTTGGGTTAGGCAACAGTGAAGAAGACAGGGCCTCATTCAAGGCGGATTTTGTGAATGAAATACGTGGGTGTTGGTGTTTAACATGGGCGTAGTGTGGGCGGCCACTCCCAGTGTCCTGGGGAGGGGAGGGCTCGTGAGGATGGGGCGAGGAGGAAGAGGAGGGTGAACAGATGTAAAGGGTGGAGAATATGGAAGAGGGGAATAGCAATGAAGCCTCACTTGGGTGAAATTCACTGTAAGGTGGTTTATATATATATATATATATATATATATATGTATGTATATATATATATGTGTGTGTGTGTGTGTGTGTGTGTGTGTGTGTGTGTGTGTGTGTGTAAATTACGAAAAATAAACACGTGATTAAAAATGTGACAGTGTCAGACCACGGAGGAAAATTGAAACAGGAACTTCCTTAAGTACTTTCGTATATTAGTACATATTGGCTCCTTCTGAAGATGTATTAATATACGAAAATACTTAAGGAAATTCCTGTATCAATTTTCCTCCGTGGTCTGACACTGTCATATATATATATATATATATATATATATATATATATATATATATATATATATATATATATATATATATATATATATATATATGCTTGGTCGTCTCCCTAGTCTGGTGCTGTGTCTGGGATAACATGGGAGAATATCTTAACATATACACCAGGAGTAACAACTACAGTTCAAGGGCCGCTGGGCTAGTGTGCCAAGTAACGCTGCGGTGAGTCGCGCACTCTGTTAATGTTTTTATTTTGTTTTCCACAGACCGTGAATGGCAGGTGTGAGGGGAGGACGTCAGACGGGGTATGTATACCAGCCTCTTGTGTTCATGGCCCCTAACCTTAGATTTTTGTTCCTATAAGAAAGTGTAGAAGGTCTGCGATGAGTCACAATAACGTGGCTGAAGTAGGTTGACCAGACCACACATTAGAAAGTAAAGGGACGACGATGTTTCGGTCCGTTCTGGACCATTCACAAGTCGATGAGAAGTTGTGAATGGTGAACATCGACTTGAGAATGGTCCAGGACGGACCAAAACGTCGTCGGCCCTCCACTTTCTAGTGTGTGGTCTGGTCAACATATTTCAGCCACGTTATTGTGACTCCTCGTCTGCAATAGTTCCGTAAACACTAAAATATCAAAACCGGAACCCCACATAAAACGCAGTCACACTACACTATTGAACGAAAAAACAATATAAAAGATATGGGAGTAATCTGGTCGGAAGACCTGAATTTTAAAGAACATAATAAAGTAGTTGTCAAAACTGCAAGAACAATGACAGGTTGGCTAACAAGAACTTTACAAAGAGATGCCAAACCAATGATACTTTTTAAAACACTAGTGCTCTCTAGGGTGGAATATTGTAGCGCACTAACTGCCCCATTCAAAGGTGGAAAAATTGCTAACCTGAAGATTATCCATTTGCCACTTGAATCTATTCAATTTACCCTTTAAATTATTGAGAACGTTTAAATGTCTCAAACTGTATTGTCTAGAGTGCAGGCCTGAAAGCTGTATAATAATTTACAGTTGGAAAATATTAGAGGGACAGGTTCGACCGTGCACACAGAAATAACTTCCACCTGAGATTAGGAGGCATGGCAGGATGTGCAGAATATCTCTGTTGAAAAGCAGAGGTGCAATAGGTACGCTGAGAGAGAACTATCAACATCAGAGGCCCGAGACTGTTCAACACTCTTCCCTCTAAACACAAGGAGGAATAATTCGCTAACTTCTCACTTATGTTTAAGAGAGAACTTGCTAAACACAATCAAAGGATACCTAATCAACCGGGCTGACTCATACACCAGACTGCGAAAAGCGGCGTCAAACAGGCTGTTTGACCAGCCCAACCAGGAGGCGTAATCGAAGATAGGGGCCATGGGGAGACTTAAGAGTCCCGGAACCATGACATAGAGAGAGAAGGGAGTACGGAACACCCCCGGAGAGGAGTAAGGGGGGTACAGAACACACTTATTCTGAAGGTTCTCAGAATTCACCTTATCATCCTGACTAAGAAGACACTTCCTGTTAGAAATGACACAGTGTCAACGTGTAGGCTTGTCATATGACACCGATAGTGTCATATGACACCAATAGTGTCATATGACACCGATAGTGTCATATGACACCGATAGTGTCATATGACACCGATAGTGTCATATGACACCATAGTAGTGTCATGTGACACTCTAATAAACAGGTCACCCGATAGTGTCCCCCCCCCACCTCCTCAATCTGGATTTACGGATAGTCTTATTCAGATCATTTAAACCCGGTTAAAGAGTTTATCCATAAATGACTGTACATTTATATATGTGAAAGGTTACATAAAAAGTACATAAATTACATAACAGTGACAGTAACGACATAATTCGTTGACCTTGTCATTATCACAAACTTTATCCCTAACAACTTACAGAAATCATTACACAACTGGCTGGACTAAACAGGTGTATAACAGATCATTACACAACTGGCTGGACTAAACAGGTGTATAACAGATCAATATACAACTGACTGGACTAAACAGGTGTATAACAGATCAATATACAACTGACTGGACTAAACAGGTGTATAACACATATTACACAACTGACTGTAAACAGTGTATAACAGATCATATACAACTGGCTGGACTAAACAGGTGTATAACAGATCAATATACAACTGACTGGACTAAACAGGTGTATAACAGATCAATATACAACTGGCTGGACTAAACAGGTGTATAACAGATCAATATACAACTGGCTGGACTAAACAGGTGTATAACAGATCAATATACAACTGACTGGACTAAACAGGTGTATAACACATCATTACACAACTGGCTGGACTAAACAGGTGTATAACAGAATGCATTAGTTCTACTATGACAGAAGTAGAACTAATATAAACTAATCACATCACAAAGATATATATATTTGTTCATATATATTAGCACATATATATACATTATATATACATTAGCATATATACATTAGCACAGCCTCAACATCAACACACTCCGGGGCGGGCCCGGAAGATGAGGGAGGGAAGGGCAGAGAGAGAGAGAGAGAGAGAGAGAGAGAGAGAGAGAGAGAGAGAGAGAGAGAGAGAGAGAGAGAGAGAGAGAGAGAGAAGTAGTAATATAAAGAGAAGGTGAGAGAGCAGCATTGTGTAGATGTGGCGGAAGCCGGGGCCAAGGTGAGGGGTCGGGACGGGTGGTCAGAGAGCTTCTACGCCCGCGCCTGCCCAACCTGTTTGGATGAGTTGTCAGGAAATGCCGACCACGGCCCTAGCGATAACACTATTTCTTCTCCGGGAGAATTTCCTTTGTGGTGGTGGGTAAAGAGCCTTCCTGTGCGGCGCCCTAGCGGGGATACCGGTCGGCCGAGCGGACAGCACGCTGGACTTGTGATCCTGGGTTCGATCCCAGGCGCCGGCGAGAAACAATTGGTTGAGTTTCTTTCACCCTATGCCCCTGTTACCTAGCAGTAAAATAGGTACCTGGGTGTTAGTCAGCTGTCACGGGCTGCTTCCTGGGGGTGGAGGCCTGGTCGAGGACCGGGCCGCGGGGACACTAAAAAGCCCCGAAATCATATTCATTCGACTTTCATTCGAAATCATTCATTCGAAACCTTTCATTCGACTTGAGAATGGTCCAGGACGGACCGAAACGTCGTCGTCCCTTCACCTTCCAGTGTGTGGTCTGATCATCATACTTTAGCCACGTTATTGTGACTCATCGCCTGTAATCTGGGAGTGCTTGCCTACCTTGTCACTTTTCCCTGGTGTACCAACCTTGTTACCTGATACCACGTCTGCACTCGTCCTCTGAGGAAGAGTGCATTCACTCCACTTTTCCTTACAATCATCGATATTATGGTGTGTGTGTTTTGTTAAGGATGGCGCTGATGATCTGAGGCAAGGCTGTTTGAGAACGGGTTGGCTTACACTGGTCAGGCCAGGTTGCGGGAGTCGAACCCATGAAACCGGTCAAATGTGAATTACCAATAACCTCGCCAGACCGTCGCCGTCACCCCTCGTAATAATATTTCTCAATTTTAACATACAAGTAAATAACTAGAAATACAAAAATACAACAATTTACCCTTAAACGGCACAACAAAACATATACACAAGCACCTGAGAGTGTATATATATGTAAATCCTGCACAGTGTTCATCTATACACATTATCCATATATTTATCAGTTGTGAGTCGTGTGGAAACCGTTTTTCATTCATAAGTAGAGGGTTTGGTGATTGTATTAACGAGTATTTGGCCTTTGTTGATGAGGACGGGCTGGATGACGATCGAATATTTCTCTAACAATGCTTCGCTGATGACAGCTGTTCGAATCGCTTTTGTAAACAACCAACGGTAAATCAACGTAACCAGACGTCTTACTAAACCTTTTCTTGGTTTAATTGTAAGAAACACAAACAATATACAGGGTATAGTCAAATAAATTTATATATGAACATAAAAAAGATAGAAAAATACCATTTGTTATCACGCCGTATAAAGGTTATCCTGGATAGTTGTTATATGGACGAGTCGGTGGATACTCATAGTACCAGCGGACTTGTGCTTCGTGTAAACCCTTGCAACCTTTCCCCTACTCTACTTGTACCCCGTATACCATAGTTTCTTGCTTGTCTTGCATACTGTCGGTGGGTTTACCAGGAGTGGCTTCTGGCAGCTACTCCCCCAAGCCCGTGCTTGGCCAAAGCTTCATTTGGGATAACTTGATCCGCATACCCACAAGCTCACGTATCTATTGCAACCAGGGGGCAGATTCACGAAGCATTTACACAAGTCCTTACGAACCTGTACATCTTTCCTCAATTTTTGACGGCTTTGGTTACATTTATTAAACAGTTTACAAGCATGAAAACTTGCCAATGAACTGTTGTTATTGTTATGAACAGCCTCCTGGTGCTTCGGAGCTCATTAACTATTTAATAATTGTAAACAAAGCCGCCAAAGATTGAGGAAAGATGTACAGGTTCGCAAGTGCTTGCGTAATTGCTTCGTGAATCTGGCCCCAGGTTAGTCGGGCACTTGACGCGGGAACTTGTCTAATTGTCTCTCAGACACCTCCACTTTTATCCCGGGATTATTTCTTATGTTTGTTGGGAGGAGATTGATGAGCCAGGTTCAGCGTGTGGATCTTCATGGTCGCTGGAGAATCAAACTTTACCTTTTAGAATTTCAACTTCATCACTGACAACTTAAGTTTCTGCAACTCATCCTTGTCCCAGTAGCTCCAAAGATTTTCTTAAGTCATGCAGTTTTTTTTCCTCAGCAGCGAATGTAGCCTATCATCGCCTTCCCCCGGGAGGATATTACTGCAAGACGCCTTAAATGAACCTCCGTTGGCATTTCCTTGTGTGTAAGTGGTATAAGCGGAGGTAAGAACGTATTCACGAACACAGGTTCAAGTCCCAGAGAATCGGTGGACCATCTGTGTAGTTACCGTATCTTGTAGGCCTGGTCGACGACCGGGTCGCGGGGACGCTAAGCCCCGGAAACTCTTCAAGGTAACCTTGTGGTGGTTATAGGAGGAGTGCTCCCAGGGCACGGACTAGGACCAGGCTGTCTGGTTGGATCAGTTACAACTTGCAGCAGCCACCCATCACAATTTGGTTTATCAGAGATCCTGAAGAGATGTTTATCAACAGTTCGTAAACCACTCCCCTTCTTGTGAGTGTAAATAAATGAAATAAAGAAATGACTATGCCTATTGGTCTCGTAAGAAATGATATCTGTGCATATTTTTAATATTTTCCAAATACATGATGCGTGTCGCC